CAGTGTCTTAATAGCATAAGGGCTTTTTCTTCCACCCAACCTTTGATCCAGGACCCAATGCGCTTCAGGCTCATCACATCCAATAAGCAACATTACTTCTTCACCCACTGATTCTGTCCAAGATAAGTCCATAAGATGGGGCCATTTCTTAGCACTGTCCATCACAGGCACTCTTGATCTATGCACAGGCAAGTCATTTACTATAACAGCCTGTTCAATACATATACATTCGTTTCCGCTTAATGAGTAGGCTTCAAATGCTTTGGTTTTCGATCTGATCAATTTATTTCCGTTTACTGTTTTGATGGTAATCGATGCACTCTCTAACGATAAACCTAACAGTCGTACCGCACTTGGCTTTATTAGGGTTGTATCTGAGCCGTTATCTAGAAATGCATAACCACAAACGTCCTTATCCTTAGCTCTAATGCGTACAGGGATTAGACCAAGAAACACATCCTCTTTTAGTGACTCTCTGTACCCACAATGACTTTCCTTTAACGGCTCACTCAAGCCACCCTGAACTTGAAAGGGTTTATGCAACAATGGGTGATGCCAGTCCTGGCAACCCTCGATAGTACACGCGACACGATCATTACAATCCATTGATCTGTGGCCCCTCCAAAGACAACAAAAACACAAACCCTTTACTCGCTTTCGCCCACATATCGTTGACTGCTAATGTGGAGAACTGGAAACATTTATAAATCCTGTGATTTTGACTCCACCTTGGATGATCTAAAATCGTTAGATGGAAATTGCAAACTGCTTTGTCTTGGAATTGGATGAGTATTTAACCGTTGACACATTCTTCCTGAAAGAATAGGTGATATGTTGCTTGTGGGTAGAGAGTTACTAACCAATGAATTGGAAGTTGAATTAGTAAGATAAGATGGCGAATTTCTACCAAGAGTACTTGTATTTTCTTTGGCTACCCATGATGTATTAGATGGTTTATTTAGATTATTTGCATCGAGTTGATTGTCATAATAATAATAGAAATAATGATGATGATATTGTTGTGGAGACGTATTTTTCCCTAAAATGGTCCCATGGTTCGTGTTCAATATGGATGAGGTAGCATTTGGAATTACTGGCGAGCGCATACGAGTGGTATTATCGTGTACACATATTGAAGAATTTTGATTGACTTGAAGACAATGACAAAATGAGATTCTTCAAAAATATATATAAACACCAAATCTCTTTGTTTTTTGACAAGATTTTACCTTGGTAACGGTAGTTACAATTGTATACAACTTAGATTTCGGATAACACGTTACGTGAAACTAAACTGGGGACATCGACCACTGTAATTTGGTTTACTGAATTAAGGCTAATGTTGTCCTCTTTATGCGACCAAAACAATATATCGCTCCACAGTTTAAAGGAAGCGCATGGTCAAATAAAATGTCCCCTCTGTGTAGGAAAATTAAGTCTTTAAATCCTCTAGTTGGACGTCACAATGTTGGTAATAAGACAGTGTACTAACAGAAGTTCTCAGTATTTGCTTTTATTGGTCGACCTGCATTTATAAACAAGTCTTTTAACGTATGAACTTCGATTTATTGAAATATGGATCTCAGCTAGCAAGCGCAAGTCTAAAGTCGGTATCGCATATTACGACAAACTGAATGGTTCCTGTTCACAACTAACCAGTGAAACGCTTCAAATTTGCTCCCTCCTCAAATGACAGTTAATCTTGATGCATCTCAATATCTTAATTAGAAATATTTCATACACACCTTCCTTTAATAAAAGTCTCCTTGCCTCTGACATATATCATTTGCAGGTAAAATTACAACATTCTACAGAGTTGATATTAACAAATATGCAAAGGATAAAAACGAAAAAAATTGTAACGGCTGTTAAATCAATTCTTACCTAAGTTTTGGGATAGGAATCGACATCATATTATACTCAGAAAGATCCTCTGCGGGTAATCCTTGATGCTACCAGTAAGCTATAAGGCACAGGGTTTGTTAGGATTCTGATTGCAGTGACATATATTAACTGGATATAGTTGTTTATCTCACAAACTTGCCACTCTTCATATTCAACTGAGTTATAAGTTCCCTTTATATAAGAGATGCTACGATAAAGTAAAAAACAGCCGCATGGGAGGGAGTTTTTTGAAGATGGTCTTATCGATTCAGTAATGATATTACACACGATTAAGAATTGTGCTACAGCTTTAGTAGCCATTAAACGGAGAGCGCACTGACATTTAAGGATGTAGATTTTATCAACAGTCAAATACGCGCCGGACCGTTGTCACTTATGGTACAGATTAACGTACATCTATTACTTTTGCTATGCGAGCATGTTTCATATCCGTCCTTTCAGGACGGATGATTCGATCGCGTGGAAACTCGGTCAGAGTAATGTGCCAATGTGATTACTAGGTCAGTCATACGAAATGTATAATTCGAAACATATATACATGGGTTTAATTTATTACATTGCATCAGCACATTGAGGTGAAATTACAAAGATAGTAGTATTGATAACAGTACCAGTGGTAATAAGGACCAGGCTTAGATAGTGATTCGAGAAAAAACGCGAAAGATTGGTCGGGTTCAAGGTTGATTTCGGAAATGGAAGACTAGGAAATTGCTTTCTTCTATTGCTCTCGGGTTATTCGCTAACAAGTTCGATTCAATGAATCAGACCCTCTACACTATTAAGTTGGGATTTTCCATCATTAATGCACCAATACTTCAGGATTTAAATGAAGTATGCAAGCAGTGATCATATACTTCATTGATGGGTAGGCTAACGCTCCAATACTTTTAGGAATTATGTTGAACCTACCAAATAATCACTTTAATTAATATCTCATCAACGTTACTGAGTGTTAGGATCTTGCATTAACCTCTTTATAACTAGATTACTAGGAGCTCACATTTACAGAGCTGATTTTTATATACGATGTCTTAGGACGAATTCGGTTGAAATAATAGTATTTCGACTAAAATGATTCACCTAGTTTCAAAGACTTGTGTTTTCTATTCACATAGATTTCTCAGCACCCATAACCCTAACGCGACTGATTCTAACTACCTCTCACCATAAATATGACTATAGCTTCAAATACAGTATGATTATTTACTTCAGAGACGCTACAACCCCATGCATAAACCTTAAAGACTCGTAATCGTCATTTTTCTTTTCATTCGTTAAAACCATCTGATCGGTGTCAACTGAGTTCATTTTATTCATACCTTAAATTATAAGGGACTTTCTTACTTTTTAATCAAGGTAGGCGATAATTGTAAGTGTAATATATAGCTCCTGAGAAGTATGGGATTTTTAATACAGAGGTAACAGGGGCTGTAACAAGTACACGTCATATGCTAACCTCTGCCTATATTAGATTATAAATAAATGCCTATAAATAATCACGGCCCAATGATGCGGTCATCCACTGGATACATATTCTTGGCCTTATTTTTTTTAACACACAGGGTATTGGTACAAGGAGGCACCAAATACATATGCGCCACACAAATCTCAATTGATTTGTGTGAGGGCTGTGATACTGCCCGGGTGCCCAAACCGAAGCAGACTTGGCCTTATTAGAAACTAAACAAGTGAAGGCAAAAGTTACACTATGTACGATAAGAGAAAATTATAACCACCTTCTGAATAGTATAGTATTTGGAGATTTACTAAGACGATTTTTGGCAAGATAACAGCCAGTTATTATTTAAAAGCTGCTACTATATGCATTTACCCATGCAGACTACATGTAAGGACACCTGGAAATTTTTAGTTAAGCATCTGTCATAGGATCCTATGGTATACAATGGCTTCACTAACCCAATACATGAATCCCAATATACCACAGTAGCTAAATACAGTCCCACTTATAACCCTTTTACTTAATCCTGTTTAACTAAAAACTGGAACATATTGCTAACGTGAACAGACCCAACCGAACTATTAAATGCACTACGCGGATTTAAATCACATACTTATTTCATAAACGGTAGGGACCATACATTCACAAAATATGAGATGTAGAGAAAGTAACTAACTGTTGAAATGAAAGCGAATCCCTTTAATGCACCAAAAGCCGACCATCAATTTTTTCAACTGCATACTTTAATAGTAAAGTATCACTCTTCTCCTACATCCGTCTGACGCATTATAAACTATATTTTTGAATACGAAAACACGAAGCCAAAACAATTTTAGAAGTCATTCTAATACCAAAAATGCATAGGGTAAGAAGACTCAATAAACAAATAAAATCTAAGTAACGTATGTCGTTGAAGTAGAAATCAGTTGCGTAAGACAATGTTAGTAAAAAAACTTTGTATAAAATACAACAGTAAAACTAAACGAGTAATATGATGTGAAATTTGGATGATCCACATTGTTACTGCTTTTGTGCAAATAAGAAGTCAATGCTCAAAAAAACCTGTTGGGTAAGTTAAAGTTTTGATAATACTGTTTTAGTTCATTTGAGTCTAATTAGTTTCAACCTTTCCATATGGTCTTCTTATTCGGAACTATCATCGGTGTGGAACAGAAAGGCACCAAGGTGTTAAATACCCTGTTTGAATATTACATTCTTATAACATCTCCAAGACTTACACTCATCTTTGGGTGTACCATTCTCCCCTTCATGTTAAACTGAAGCTAACATAGTGAAACATATATCGAAGATGTGAAATTTAATAATGTGCGGTCACAAAAGACGGATTCTTAAAAATATTTTATTTTCTGGAACCTAACATGAATTCGTTGAAAGATTATTTTTAAAAATCATCCAAAAATTCAAGACTTGACTAATAAAACAATAATACAACTAGGTAACTGACTTCAAATAAAACTGTTAGGGCATAAATTACAATGAAGACCATAATTTACACTAGTATGTACAAAAGTAACCCAATCGATTACCAATAAACATATTTAAGAGTAGTTACTGAAAGCTTTTGTAGGTTATGCATTTTGTATGGAGAATGGAAAGACTAGAAATGAATGTGAGCATTTGAAGATGATCAATAAAATCGCCCTAACAACAAAATGCTGATGCAAGCATCGAAAGACAAAGGTGAGCTGGAACTAAGTTTAGGAACGTAAATGGATTTCGATATTTCTGTTGATATGCATTAGTATCATCAGATGTATCTTCACAATTCTGTTTCAAAAGATAGCCAATCTCGTAATTTAGGAGGTTGTGACATTGATCTGTGTGTATGTTTAGGATGTTCACCTTTCTTTATCAATGTACCAGCGTCTTTTAACGTTGAATTACTGAATACAAGTGGATGTTGGAAAGTATTTCGGTTAAGGTATCGCCCATGGGCCTCGTTGGATATAATCTGATAAGTGGATTGTGAAGCCATAGGTAGACGTGATCCTAGCATTCCAGAGAAAAAAAGTGAATTTGACTCCATTTTGGATGATCTAAAATCGTTAGATGGAAATTGCAAACTGCTTTGTCTTGGAATTGGATGAGTATTTAACCGTTGACACATTCTTCCTGAAAGAATAGGTGATATGTTGCTTGTGGGTAGAGAGTTACTAACCAATGAATTGGAAGTTGAATTAGTAAGATAAGATGGCGAATTTCTACCAAGAGTACTTGTATTTTCTTTGGCTACCCATGATGTATTAGATGGTTTATTTAGATTATTTGCATCGAGTTGATTGTCATAATAATAATAGAAATAATGATGATGATATTGTTGTGGAGACGTATTTTTCCCTAAAATGGTCCCATGGTTCGTGTTCAATATGGATGAGGTAGCATTTGGAATTACTGGCGAGCGCATACGAGTGGTATTATCGTGTACACATATTGAAGAATTTTGATCGACTTGAAGATTTCTTATAATTTGTGGCGGTTTGACTGACCATCTTTGAGCGGGAGAGCGTTGCAACTGAGCACCAACAGAAGAGGAACGTGATTGGCCAACTACTTTCCGTTTGTTTATATTGGGACGACCACAGATGAATTCCATCTTTGAAGAGCAAAAACTTTTACCTTTTTGTTCGGAATCATTATTTAAAGGGGTATGCTTTTCATGTTTCGTGCTGGCACATAAATCAACTCCTTTATTCGAGTTGGGTTCAAATTTTTCAATGAGTGACGTTAGTTGATTATGAACAGAATTTTCCGTAACAGGTTGAGATGTAGGTATATGAGTTGTTCTAGATGATAAGGATAACGTACTCCACTGATCAGAACCACTTATTGAATGCACAGAGGAGACTTGACAACTAGGATTAGAAAATGAATCTGACACGGTGGGACGGATTGACAAATTAGATCGACTAACATTGTTTTCCGAAATATTGTTCAAACATTTATTGGGTTGATTGACTCTGAGAGTGTACGAAGGTTTGGCACGCTGAATTGCTGGTAAAGGAGGGATCCCATTAATACTTCTGTTGGACAATAGCATATCAAGAACTTGGGTGGAACTTGGTGGACGACTATCACTCCCAAGAGATCCAGGAGAACTATCAGAACCTGCAGATCCGTAACCTGAAGAGCCCTGGGAGAGGAACTTATTGGACTTTCCCTCTAGTAGGTAAGTAAAATTTTCTGAACTCTGATCAACTATTGTATTTCGGGTCTTAAAAAAATGAGGATTTTGACCAACAGAAAACTGTTCACTAATTGTAAATGATGAGAGTTGAGGGGAAATATTTTCATTAACAAAATGGTCAGAAGTTACTGAAGATTTATGAATAGTAAACTGTGTTTGCTCGTTAGAATCAGAATTTACTTTAGGTGCTGCAACTAGTGTAACGTCTACCTCAGTTTGATTACTTACATTTTCCCATGATGCTTTTTTTGAATCAGAAGAGTCATCAAGAGAGATATTACTCACACCCCCGGAAATATCTGGACTAAGAGTGGTCACTGATTCGGGAGATTCAACTGTGCCAGTCGAATAATCCATAGAGGATGTGATGCTTGTAGGAGTTTTGCAATCCCAATTATTGGTCTTCGTTTCATCTAAACACTGTAAGTGTGGTAATGGTAATCCCTTAAGCCACTCTAGTACATCATGAGGTTCCTTGTTGTGCCGAACAAAAAATCCAGTACTCATTAATGAGCGATATTTTGGACGCTGAGTGTGGTCCTTTGTTAAGCTAAAAATGAAAAAGAGGATAATACAGTAAATCCCAAACAAATCAAACAGACTAATCAAAGAGTCAACCAAATGCTTACTTTTCCATTTTTACAAGGATGGAAACAGAAATTCTATTGAGCCGGTCAAAAATTTGAGCAAGAAGAGATCTACTTACCTCTTATTTATTTTAACACATAAATATCGGCACAAGGAAGCACCAAATACATATGCGCCACACAGATCCCATTTGATATGTGTGGGGGCTGTGATACTGCTCGGGTGCCCAAACCGAAGCAGGTAGTTATCTTAGGGGGCCAAACCTCGAGCCTTCGACCTGAACATCTGATCCACAAGGCAGTGGAGCATCGTGAGGAGATGCAGTTTCATGGTAACCGGTGACCAACGATTGGTTCATACGCCATTTGTTCCCTCAAGATACTGGAGCCCATGTACACCATTGGTTAGGGATCCGGTTAAAGCGCCGGAAATTCGCTTTTCGTCCTCTCATTTTCGTAAACAACACCCCCGCGACGAGAAGGCAGTGAGTAGGACTTCCCTGGCAGAGGCTGTATACGCGTGGCCATGTGAGAGCATTTCGAGAGGGAGAGTGGACTCTCCCCACTCTCGGTCGTACCAGGGCACTTGGGGCTGCTTACCTCTAATTTGTTCTGCTAATACCGACTATATTTTTGACGTGAAATATATCACGCATAAAAGTTAACGAATGAGATACCAAGGTTATTCAACAAACCTACACCTTACAGCCAACAATGGTCTTCTCATTGTCCTTCTTTAGAGCAGAAACAAGACTTTTGCCGTCTAAAGCATACGAGCGCACATACACAGGTTGATTACATATGTTTGCTTTAGTGAAGTGATGCAGTGAATAATAAGGTACACACTAAGTAGAGACACAGTCAAAATTAACAAAGCTTGGCACAGATGTGAACCAACCCCACTTCTTACACATTTGCAAATCGAGATGAAATTAACAAGATGAATAATGGCATCAATGACAGCGACTGAAAATTTTGTAATATAGCTCGAAGAGGGGATGAATTAGAGGAATAAAAAGTAGGAAATAATATTGGTGCTCAAGAATTAAGCGTGAATGTGTAGAATTATGTTCTACTATGATATTAGCACTGCTCTAATAATAGACCTAATCCTAAAATTGTAGATTTGTTATGATGTAACTGCCTAATCCATAAGATCTTACGCGGAAGTCACATCATCATCTTCACCAACTCACTGCATCGTAACAATTACCAATACATGATAGAGAACAATCTTATGCTAGAGTTGGAACAATATATTTAATATGAATAACAGATATGAGGGAACATTTAACAGGGACCACACCTGCATGGCCGAGCCATGCCATCTCATCAACTCCAATTCATTCAATCCTTATTCCCGCCTTCTCCATTGTTGGGTATTTCCCAGCGTTAAAAGTTGAATGTCTATTTTCCATTCTGTCTCGTGTTAGGGCCCGATTGCACTACACTACTCTCCCACCAGAATCAACGTGACGTTGGTTCGATACCGATTTGAGTGCGATTGTCACCCGCCGGAGGTTATCAAAAATAATAAAAACCCTCCTGTTATTGATAAGCTGAAAGATAAATCAAAAAGAAGGCAGCAGCATCTGGCCGGGAAATACATGTAATAATTTTAACATATCTGATTACATGTTTAACACGATTAAAATGAAAATTTAGGTAAATATTATTCGAGCTAAACAAAGTGAGATAATAATAATAATGAAATGACTCAGTATAGGAATATTTTAATAGATCGCCGTATGATACGTAGTAATAGCCGTAGGTTAATAACATTTCCTGTGCAGAAATATTAAAAACACCAAATATCAGAGAAATGTTAAAAGTGGTATCCTTATTACTGAAGACTGATATATCGAGAAGTGATCAATATAAGCTTACTAGCAGTTGTAGATGTGTTGCACGGAGTACTCATTCGTGATCTGGTGCGAATGCCTGACCGAGTACCTCCAGCTAAATGAGTCCGGTAAAACTAACGCAGTCGGCACCAAATGTCGAAGACTTATAGAGTGATTGATTTTGGGGATTTACTTACCTCTACAGACTCCTACCAGTCCTGGTATATTTTTATCTTTAAAAACCCCTTTAAGCTTATGAGAATGATTTGCGCCATTCATTTTTAAACAGGCAATGCCAATATCTTAGATTTCCACCGAAAAATTCTTCTATCAGCTATGTTTGCTTTACTGGTATTGAAGGATTGAAGAACTGTAGATTAGCGGGAGCGATTAATTTTAACGATACAGGGTTAGTAAATGGTGGTATTGGTGCCTACTTTTGACATTATGACGAAATCGCACCTACTGAAACCCCTCTCCCCCCCATTTTTTTCAACAAGTTCATTAATTTTACCAGAACTTCAGTGGATTATGTTAATAAACAGGAAATGCGTTGGTTTTGAGGTGATTTTAATTCAGGTCATTAAAAATAAAATTATGCTTTGCAACCATGCTGGTGATACACACGAAAGTTACGTCCATAGCAGTATCTAAAGTAGTCTTTATTGATTGTTATGGGGGTGCTCATCACACCTATGAAAACTTTAGTTTTCATCCTGAAATTATAGAATGCACATATATTGCTAGGCTCACAAACATCAGCTGAGACAGCGTTTGGTAAGTAGACTTTTCATCATGTAGCTGTCAGGTCAGGTTTTATGTCATGCGGCCAAGCATGTCATTTGTTTTCTATGTGAATGGTGGGTTCAACTCCTCACTACTTTTCTGTACAATAAGGTATCAGAGCATGTTGCTCAGTCATATAACGAAGAGTTGATTTCAATCATTTAGAGTGCTTTACACTTCCTGGATCAAATGGTTCACATGTGAGTTTTGTCGCACTCCTGTGACTAGTTCATATATTTCTTGGTGTCCAATGTTGGTCCCATTACTGCATCACTAATAATCTTTGATGTCAAGATTTTCGAAATCGTTTCGGTTTGTGAAATAATTGTTTTGTGTTCGCTTGTTAAGTGGCATTGTGGCAGACCGATATATTTCTTTCTGGTCGTGGTTGGGATACGATGTGATAATTGCAACAAGTGATGCCATATCGAATATGATGAACTCACTATATCCGCTTATGGGGAATGCAAATATGGTGAGCGCAGGAAACTCAGAATTTATTGTCATTTCGGGAAATTTGCTAACATCAGAAGTAAATGATGGCAAAATTCAGTCATTTATTTCCTCACTCTAAAGGATCGACAGACTAAGCTGTAGAAGAGGTGGCGTTATTCAGTACTTAAAGAGCACTGTAACCATACTAGATATCAAGACAGCGTCACATAAATCACGAACATGTGAGTTGATGCAATGCCGGCTGGGATGTAAAGGGTAACACTAGTTGTAGGGAGAAGTAATGATTACTTACGCCTGTTACTCCCAATGGGGCGTAGTCCGCTGATCAGCATTCTCCTACCCACTCTGTCCTGGGCCTTCTTTTCTAGTTCCATCCAATTCTTGTTCATTTTTCTCATGTCTATCTCCATTTCCCGGCGTAGTGTGTTCTTTGTTCTTCCTCTTTTCCTTTGGCCTTGATGATTCCATGTGAGGGCTTGTTCGGTGCTTTCCTCAATGTGTCCTATCCACTTCCTGATTTCTTCCTCCACTGGGATCTGATTTGTTCTCTCCCACCGTAGGTTGTTGCTAATAGTATCCGGTCAACGGATCCGAAGTATTTTGTGTAGACAACTGTTGATAAACACCAGTATCTTCTGGATAATGGCTTTCGTAGTTTTCCAGGTTTCTCCTCCATGCAATAGAACAGCCTTAACATTTGTACTGAAGATTCTGACTTTGTTGTTGATTGACAATTGATTTGAGTTCCAGATGTTCTTCAGTTGTAAATATGCTGCTCTTGCTTTGTTGATCCGCGCCTTCACATCTGCATCAGATCCATCGTGTTCACCGATAATGCTACCCAAATATGTAGAAGTTTTTACATCTTCCAAATCTTCTCCGTCAATTGTGATTGGATTGGTGCATGCTGTGTTGTACCGGAGAACCTTGCTTTTCCCTTTGTGTATATTGAGACCTATTGCTGCTGAGGCTGCAGCTACACTGGTTGTCTTCTCCTGCATTTGTTGTTGCGTATGCGGTAGAAGAGCCAGATCGTTTGCGAAGTCTAGATCATCCAACTGCATCCTAGATGTCCACTGTATTCCACGCTTACCCCAGATTTTGACGTGTTCATGATCCAGTCAATCACCAGGAGAAAGAGAAAAGATGAGAGTAAGCAATCGTGCTTGACACCGGTCTTTACCTCAAACTAGTCTGTCAATTGTCCTCAATGAACGATTTTTTAGTCTCGTCCATCCTAGGAACTTTGTATGATATTGACTAACTTCTGAGGCACGCCGTAGTGTTGAAAATGCTCCCATAGTGTTCTGTCCACGCTGTCAAATGCTTTTTCGTAGTCAATGAAGTTGATGAAGAGTGATGAATTCCATTCAATTGATTGTTCCACGATGATCCGTAGAGTTGTGATTTGGTCTGTATACGATCTATTCTTACGGAATCCTGCCTGTTGGTCGCGAAGTTGGACGTGTACGGAGTCCTTCATCCTGTTTAACAATACCCTGTTGAAGACTTTTCCTGGTATTGATAGAAGAGTGGTTCCCCTGTAGTTCTGACAGTTGCTGAGATCGCCTTTCTTTGGTATTTTGACTAGAAGTCCTTTCCAGTCTTGTGGTACCTGTTCCTCCTCCCAAATCTTTCTGAAGAGAATATGGAGTATCCTTGCAGTTGCCGCTACGTCTGCTTTCAGTGCCTCTGCTGAAATGCTGTCTAGTCCCGCTGTTTGCCACTCTTGATTTGTCTGATAGCCATGCTGATTTCTTCAATTGTCGGTGCGCCAACATCAATTGGGAGGTCCGTGAGTGCTGCTTCGATGTTGGGTGGGTTCAGTGGGGCTGGTCGATTCAACAGTTCTTTGAAGTGTTCTACCCACCTGTTTCGTTGTTCTTCAATGTTGGTGATTATCTTGCCTTCTTTGCTTTTCACTGATCGTTCTGGTTTACGGTGATTTCCAGAGAGTTTCTTTGTTATATCATACAAGTGTCTCATGTTTTCTTCTCTTGCAGCCTTTTCCGCCGTCACTGCTAAATCTTCCACATATTTACGTTTGTCGGTTCTGATGCTCCTCTTCACTTGCTTGTTTTCTGCTCTTGTTCGGTTGGTATTGATTGCTGCCTTCTGTTTCCTCCTTTCTTGATTCTTATCTAGTGTATCAACAGTGATCCGTTCCTTGTGGTTGTGCTTCATGTGGCCCAGAACCTCATGACATGTTGAAGTGATTGCCTCTTTTATCTCTTTCCAGTTGCTTTCCATAGTAGTTCCCTCTTCATTGAGTAGATCATGAATGGCCTGGAATCTATTGCTGAGGACTATCTTGAATTTGTTGGGTTTGTCGGTATCCTGAAGAAAGGCCGTATTAAACTTCTGTGCTGTTGTCCGCCCCATTGTCTGGTGCTTCTTGAGTTTCAATTTCCTCTTGACGACCAGCAAGTAATGATCTGATGCCATGTCAGCTCCTCTCTTGGTTCTCACGTCCTCCATCGTCCTCCTGAACTTTTTGTCGACGCAGATATGGTCGGTTTGGTTTTGCGTAGTGTGATACGATGAAGTCCATGTGGTTTTGTGGATGCGTTTGTGTGGGAATATAGTGCCACCTACGATCATTTTATTGAAGGCACATAGGTTTGCAAATCTCTCACCATTTTCGTTCCTTTCTCCTAATCCGTGTCGTCCCATAATGTCTTCATATCCGGTGTTGTCCATTTCAACGGTGGCATTTAAACCTCCCATCAGAACGGTCAGGTCCTTTGTTGGGCACTTTTCGACGATTGACTGCAGCCTATCGTAGAATTGATCTTGAGCGTCTTAATTGTAGTCGTTGGTAGGCGCATAGCATTGGATGACGTTCATTGTAATTCCCTCTTTCTTTGTTTTGAAGGAGGCTTTGATGATCCTTGGTCCATGAGATTCCCATCCTATAAGTGCATTTTGTGCTTGTTTGGATAGCATCAATGCAACTCCTTGTGCATATGGGGCATTTTCTTCTTCATGGCCAGAGTATAACAGCAGCTCCCATGAAGCTCTTCTTTGTTGTCCAACTTGCGTCCAATGTGTTTCACTGATCCCAAACACCTCTAGGTTGTATCTCCTCATTTCTGAAGCAATTTGGAAGACTCCCGGTTTCTCACATTGTACGAGCATTCTATGTACCTAAATAAATGGTTGCTCTGGTTGTCAAAAGTGGCATCGGCCTCGTGACTTCCAAAGGGACTCGGCTTTCATCACGAGGCGTCATAACTCTTCTAAATGAAGACCTGACTCCAAGGGCAGAGTTTAAATGGTTTGAATAATTTTTTTCTTGTTAGCGTTTTTTAGCGAGTTAGTTTTCTACGGAATGGAGTCGCTAACCCAATGCCTAACTCTCCTCCTTTATCCGGGCTTGGGGCCGACAGTAGCCCCAGAAGGGCTCCAGGTGGAGTCTGGAGTAATCATAGGGTCGTCATATTCAATGTGATTTTTGCTATCTAACACTGCGATCCATCTTTATATGGAAGGCAAACGTAAAAGCGATCAGCTGTGGCCTTAAATGAGGCTTAGAAAATATGCACAGAAGTGCCAGTAGACGTCATGGAGCCACTTCTGCCAATTATGCAGCTAAACAGATAAACCATTTATGCCATGGAAAGTTCCGATGGAGAAAAGGCAGTTCTATCCCCGGATAAACTGGGACATTCAATTTCTATCGAGAAAAGAGAAAGTAAACGTTGCAACATCATTATAAATCTTGGAAAAGTAAATGCAATAGAACGCTGCAAGTCGATCCAGAAAAGTGCAAAAACAATATACAAAAATCAGTTTTCAAAAACTACAGTTAAGAAGTTAAAGCGACTGTCCTTATATATTAATTATAGAACAAGAACGCACGCATAGATTCCCAGTTAAATTACGAGAGTTCATCCTAGTCGATAGAGCGAATATAGGATAGAGTAGAAGCCATAAGTGAAGACTTCGTGACTATTTTCACTTACGAGCCTCCTGTCAATATAGGACTAGCCCCCGAAACTCTCGCCGAATCGATCACTCATTGTGGACTTCTGCTTAGAATGAGTTACCAAAAGGACTAAGCTCTTTAGACAAAATAATCAGGACCGAATACGTTACACTCCTGGTTCCATTCTAGGTCTTTTACTTTTCATACCTTATGTAAATAAATTCTCACGTATTGTAAAGTCTCTGATGCTACTTTATTCTGATGATGTCAACATGTGGCGAAAAGTAACTGAGAGTACCGTTGCTTGTGGATTTCAGGCCGATCTAGACGTTTGGCAAGCTGGTTTAAATTGTGATTAATGCCCTATCAATACAATCATAATTCTACATTCACATCGAACACACGTAAATAACAAAAAACGGGGAAAACATCACTGTTCTTAGTCCTGTATCATAGCGATCTGAGAGTATTAGTGTGTCGCAATCTTCGAACCACACCATAGTGCTGTGCAGTTGTATCTGAAGGGTTGAGAACCATGTGGGCATCAAGACAAACATTTATCAAGTTGGATACAAATATGGTATATACAGCCGTAGTGAGACCCAAACTTGGGGATTATTCATGCTCCAAGGCCCTGTTTAATTGACTCGTACATCTTGAAAAAAGTATAGAGAATAACTACCTGTGCGATTCCGGAATTCTAAGGCCTACCATACACAGTAGGGGTTGAAAATTTAGATCTAATTTTTTTGTATGAGATACTAAGTGGGGTAAAATAGACTTGTTTCAAGCATTTACTGGTTTCTAAAGAATTTTGTACTTTACTTAGCACTTACTTTTGTGTACTTCCCTTACAGGAATATGGCTGGAAGTAGGTGGCCGGCTGCAATGCCTCCTACTAACAGAGTCGGTAATGCTTCTCGAGCAAAACAAGTTATTTTCGAACCTACATTTGCCAAAGTATGTCTTTATCATACGGGATATAAATTTTATTAAGATGGAAAAAGAGAATTACGCTTTAACTCAGCGACTAAAGGAAGCTTTCTATAAAGTAGGTTTGAATTAGGATACAAATTCATGCCTATATTAGGTTGAGAAGCGGTATCCTGGTTTCAGTAAAGATTTCATGATTGGCTTGCTTCAACGGATGGGAGTCGATAGTGAAATCGACGTGACTGAAACGTGTTTACGGATTGCTGCTCTTCAAGAATGTGGTATTGCCTTCGATATTTTTTTAGATCGCATGTAATTTCAGATAATCCAAAGACTTCAAGAAATCCTAGAGTTTTGGAGTTGGAACTTACTGCTAAGACCCTAAAAACTATTCTTAGTAGCATACCTGATGAAATTATCGACCGCAGAGCATTTATAGAAGTCATCAAGTAATCCAATTATTCAACAAAAGTTATTTACTTAGAGGAATAGCAGATGCAATAAAGATGTTGTTGGCTGCTGTGGGTGCGTTTTATGATACGTTACCACCAGGAACACAAAAGAAATGTCTTGAAGATCAAAAACGAAAATTTATCACCTACTGTCGTAAATTCAGTGACACTTTGAAGCAGTACTTTAGGAACAACGAGTTAGTGTGGAATTGTTTGACTATAAATTCGATTCTTGCTGTTTCTTGTCTTTCGGTAGCCATCAAAAGTAAACTTAATAAAAATGAAAAACAACTTCCCTCACAAATGTTTGGTAGAGCTACCGTAGGTATGATACTCTCATCTTAAGCTGTTTATCATCTCTCTTTCTAGTTAGACAATCCACTTAGTTCGACTTCTAAATTTTATTTAAAGTAGCGTACGGGCGAGCTAAAGTTTCTTCTTGTTTCGATTCATTGTTGTCAGTTATTTAATAACTCTAATCGCACTATACGCTGTTTATTCCACTGTCTTTTTTCTCTCATCGTCCTCTTGTTTTAGATGTAATGCGTTGACTTTGTCTAACCAATAATTGGAATCAGTGGTGTTGTAATTCAATATGTAAAGCACTCAACTTTTAACCTATACTTGACGTGTCTAAAATCTGCCCTAAATACTTCGGCTAAAGCAGTTACAGATCATACCGTAAATTCACAAAAACCCGAGAGATGAATATGTTCTAAACTGTATTAGATTTATTGAGGGTGAGCCGTTAATAGTTAAACATTGTCATCTCTTTACATCTGTATACTGACCTTTATTTGTTTTATGGGGTTAAATTTATCTCAGTCCGATGAATGTTGACAAGTTCTATCGAGACCAACTATATCGTACAGGGGTTAAAACAGGTCTCGAGGTGTTGGTCATATATTAATTCTACTTGTTCACCGGTAACACTAAGTATGAGGTCCGCTTATGCCACACGGTTGCCCAAGTCGAAGTAGACGGGACGGACCTCGGACTTGTGACTTAGTGTCTAAGATACCTTAATCACTGAACTGCCCCCAAATGCCCTGGTACGGCCGAGAGTGGGGAAAGTCCGCTCTCCTTCTCGAAATGTTCTCACGTGGCCACGCGTATACAGCCTCTGCCAGGGAAGTCCTACTCACTGCCTTCTCGTGGCGGGGGTGTTGTTTACGAAAATGAGAGGACGAAAAGCGAATTTCCGGCGCTTTAACCGGACCCCAAATCAATGGTGCACATGGGCTCCAGTATCCTGAAGGATCAAATGGCGTATGAACCAATCGTTGGTCACCGGTTACCATGAAACTGCATCTCCTCACGATGCTCCACTGCCTTGTGGGTCAGGTTGAAGGCTCGGGGTGTGGCCACCTAAGAAAACCACCTGCTTCGGTTTGGGCACCCGTGCAGTATCACACCCCTCACACAAATCAATTGAGATTCGTGTGGCGCATATGTACTTGGTGCCTCCTTGTACCTATACCTATGTGTTTAAATAAAAATAAAAAGTAATCACTGAACTACAGCCCCATTAACCTATTAAACGGTTTCAGAATTACATCGGGGACAAGATTTTTAGCAGTTGTTTGTTGTACGAAACTTTTAAATAACTAGTAAGTTAGTTCAGAGGCTTCATTCTTGGTTCACTTTTGTTCTTGTTCACCAGTGACGTACTTAGTATTCTGTTCATGATTGTTTGAGATTTCGGAGTGCGGTGTTCTCCAATCTTCATCAAGTACATTTCCTTATTTGTTTATGCAGTTATCGGGTCGCGTTCAAGTTGTCTTGGGATTTTTGTGAAAGATTATTATATTACAGTTTACTATCATAACACGACTACAATTATAAATCATAATACTATGCTGTTATTTGTGTGATCGACTTGATGACTTCGCTTTATCTTTATTTGACTGTTTCTTTCTTATCTACTACTTGGGTATGACTTTGACACCATAGACCTGATATTCTAGAAAGTATCCACAAATGATCCGGGGATAGAGTATGGAAAATGCTCTCGTTTTCCACGAAGTGTTTGTTTACAGGTGTTTTATGATATTCTCGGACACACCTTTCAACAAATAATCACAAAGCATAGTCCTGTCCTGCAAATAGAAGGTGGCCCTGATATCAAGAAACTAACTGTTAATCTTCAGTAAAAGTGGTTGTGCTCTGACATTCGGTGATGTGTGTGGAAATGATCAATATGCTTATAACCAGATCAAAAACTGGCGTACTCCTTGCAGATTAGTCTATATATATGTAATCAAATAATTGTGTGTCTTCTGGAATATTTAGATCATATTTAATAACTTAATGCTCATATACTCATATTGCTTATCGTTTATGGCTAACACAACAACCTTAGCGACCGTTTTAGATTGGAGTTATTTCCAATTAACTGTGATTACATATATGTACATCACTTCTCGAATATTCCCGGATTTAATGTGTCCCAGTGTCTAGTTTCATAGTTATTTTTTGTAGTTCGTAAAGGTTCTCAGTTTGACTACGTCGATTTACAAATATTAATCATCATTAGGACATTATAATGAGATAAAGAAATTTTCTGTACGTTTGTTATTTGTATGAATTTTATTTAATATTAATTTAATCTCCACTGTCCAGAAAATCTTGTGTTATTTAAACTGAGTTAATTCTCAATTTCTTGACCTTTCCTTTTTTAGTCAAACTGTGGTTTTCAGCAGCGCAAACTTACTGGTTAGCCAAACCAACCTAATTTTGTTTGTGGTTCATGATGTAGATTAAAGAAAAGGGAAAATGCCACCATTGTTAATATTCTGTGTTTACTTCGGATTATATTTCCTTATGAGTGTAATTTATGAATAGCTGAAAAATTAGTTTTTACTTTCGCGTAAACATCTATAGTAAACTGGTTACTTTTTCAAACATTAAAATTACGATTTCGCATTACTTTTTTCCAAATATTCTACTCAGTGACAAATTATTTTGCATCATTACTTATGTTTTCTTTATTCTCAGCTCCTTGTAAATTGAGAATAGAAGCTTTTTATGAAATAGGATATAAAATTATTTGTGCTTCAAGTTTGACTTTTACGCTGCGTAGTGTGACCCTTTTGACAAACCATGTAAACTTGTACAATTTATTTAGTTACTCGTGTTAGATGATCTTGAAATAATCATAGAACTAAAGTAAACTATCTCTGACTGATCCTATTAGTCAGTTCCCACCATACATTCATCTATGTTTTCTAAATACTTAATTACTTATTATACACGGCTGATTTTAAGCCTAAAAGAATAGTAGACAAGGTAATTCAGTAAGTTTATTGTTTTGGTCTGACATCTAATGCACGATAATGTTCGTGGATTCACTACATTCAGACGACAATTGAAGTGAATTTTTTGTTCACATTTATGTGCTTTAAATGATGTTACTTTGAAAGTAAACAATTTGTAGGTCCGAATGAGGATTCTGATTGTTTTGTTACCTTAGCTGGATGGTGTAATCATAAAGCTTTTATTGTCTTTCTCAACAGAATTGTTAATATAAACTTCAGTGAGAAATATTATTAGAATTTCTCTATAATTAACTCCCTACTTTTCCTGTCGACCTAGAATTTGGTTAGTTGTTGCCTACAGGTGTGCTGCCGCTGTTTACTTTGATTGTTTGCCCCTCAAAACATGGAGTTGTTTATAGTTTTTCTTGTTCGTTACCAATGACTGATTGACAAATCCGTTTTCTAGAGTGCGACGTTGGCGATTGCTAAACATGCTCGAAAGGTAGACTGCTGGTCACTTTTTGCCTGATATTTACTAGGCCAATTCAATTATTCTATACTGGATTTAAATTCATGACGAACACTAGTAATACGGAAATATTTTTAATGGATTGTGCAAGATCCGTCATATCTACAGTGGAAACAACTCACCGTACAGCCCACATAGTTTTATGTACATTTCACGTGTGTAGAGCCATGTGTAGAAAAACCCGTCTACGTATACTACGCACACTAATTATGCATTGAATGCGATAAAAGTTTGTCACTATTCACGAATAAGTTGACATAAGTACTGCTTTGATATGGGATTACGGGTGTTTCTACATATGGCTTTACACACGTGAAATGAACATAAAACTATGTGGGCTGTACGGTGAGTTATTTCCACTGTAGATATGACAGGTCTTGCACAATCCGTTAAAAATATTTCCGTATTACTAGTGTTTGTCGTGATTAGTTTGAAATGATCTGTTATCTGTTTTATCTTCTCTGTCCTTATTACTTTGTTTCGACTCTTGCTCACTGTTTTATACTAGTTAATAATATCCAGTAAATTGTTGTATTCTTAGCAATTTCTACGCTTATATTGTAACACAAGTTTGTCGTGTAATATCCTGAAATATTTACATGTACTTATAACATTTATTGTATTTATCATTATAGTTACTTTATCTCAATCACTGTAGCAGTTATCCACAGTTTTGTGCATTTGTTTGACCTTTGTTTAGACGCAACGGTTTCCATATAGTTTGCTCTTGGTTCGGATTTTGTTTGCTAATAAACTGTTACCAAGTTTAGACATAGCTATCAGCTGTCTTTTGCACTATCGTATGTTGTGATTATCTTTTACGTTACAGTTACAGGAAGCCCTTTTTATTTCCTCTAAAAGGACTCGTTAAACAAAGCAGATACTTCACAAGTTGAGGTTTGTAACTCAATTTTGTATATTAAATAAGGAACCGCTATTTTAGACAACTCGTTGTTTTGTGAACTTCGATTTTGCACGTATCTCAATTGGGTGACTTGGACGCTTCGATTAACTTAACATGATTCATGATCCACACCACATCTTCCTTCGTCCAGGCAAACATAATCGGGGTTCCACACCCACAGTTATCTGTAGAAACCAACTGAAAGAATTTATAACTAAAGACATTCGATAGGCAGAACGCTTTCACTTACTTTTCGATGAAGTTGTGTTCTCTGAGCTGGATCGCTTAGTCGTAGAGCTTTCGTCGTTCTTCTGAATGACATCATCAGCACAAATACCAGGTACAAACCTTCACCATCTCACTTTGACTTACATTCTTCTGTTAGTGTTGCATGGCGAACCGCGGCAAATTACTTCAGGAAAACATGTATACATTTCAATTTGCTCATCAGTACTGAATGTTATTCTCCCCACTTGGTTAGCATCCCCACCATAGCATACAAGTACTTTCCCACTACGTAAGGTTGAAAGCACATCATTGAAACTCCCACAGCCTGAAAAACCATAGATCTATAGGAAAAACTTACGTTTGACAACTTTATATTTCAAATTATTGACATAATGAACGGTAATGCTGGTAGCAAGACGAGAAAACGGGACTGATTCAAAAATGTTAACGCCAAAATTTAGAGGACTATATGAATTACAGAATTTCAACACTAAAGGACTAAATTTTGCAGCGACGCGAAAAAGCCAGTGGTGAATCACAGACCTAGGCAAGCTGACGGCTATTGCTTGCAAAGATGGCTGAGATGATGATTCCCGCTTCATTTTGATTGGTCACTAAGCGGGCTGCCAAAATTACGAATCGGATTTGAGTTCATTTCCATTCAAAAAATAGTGAACACGAAATTGAATGAAGATGGTTTTAATGATTAATAATTGTATGTTGTATATTGCATTGTCTGGTGATTAGTCGATGAATATAAGGTCGCATTATTTGTTTTTATTCTTATTGCTATGTTATGTCGTAGCGGAGGTTAAATTATAGGTAACTTTTGAGAGCTATTAATGGACTAATATTATACACATATTTTTATCGTATAGTTATTAAGTAACTAGATTATGTTTATTTATATTCCTCTTATCATAAGCTTTATTTTGATTTATGGACTATTATTTCATGATTTGCTATCCTTAAGTTTTACCTAGTTTATTAATTACAGTTTCTCACTATCACAGTCACTTCCTGACTTGATCTTGTACACTTGTTATTTTTTATTTATGATGTGTTCTGGTTGGCTTGTATATAAATCAGGTATGTTTGAAATATATGATCCATTTGATGGAAGCTGTTATTAGCATCCTGGACTTAACAGACAGTAAAAGGACCAATAAGTACACTAAGCTGCTGATACCCGTAAATACATCATTGGTTCGACACAGTGCTAAGATTGTATAAGTCGTGTTCTAGGTTGGCGATTTTATCACGTCATATATTAATCAGACACAAGTCACAACACTGTATATCGTAAAAACATGATTTTTTTGAAAACTTTCAGTGCTGGCAAAATACTTATAGGTTAGACTAATACTGACTGATGAGTAATTGTGTATCTGATAGAAGACAATTGAAAATAGTTATAGTCTATACAGAGGATTAAAAGCGTCCTTCATATATTTCACACATTACAGTTCTCAAAATATGGTAATAAAATTTATTGGTCATTAACAGTTGAAGTGTCTTGTCTATTTTTTGATTTTTGAACGAGTCACCAAAAATGTTACAAGTTCTTTACTATCCATGAACGTATTGATAAAGTAAATAATACAAGTAATGAAATAGCGGAGAAGATTTGTAACTCAGGTGGATGATTTTGACTTCTACTTGAAGTTCGTGCTGATGATATCGTTAAGAAGAGCAATGAAAGCTCCACGACCAGCCCATACATCTCAGAGAACAAAACTTCAAAAACAAATAATGGAATCGTATGTTACGCTGATAAAACAATCACCAAGCAGATATGACTAAATCTAAACATAATAGGAACAAAGAATTAGTTACCATGTAAAAATCGTTAGTATGACACGAAAATAAATATATGTTATCTGTTGCATGAACAAATAGTATTGTTAAAGAAGCATGATTGTTAAAATCACAGGCAATATGAAGTTCTATCTGAAGTGTTTAGTCATAGTCTGGATTACCTGATAAACTTTTGACGAGTTTGTTTAAGACATTTCAAAAAATGGGTCATTTCGAGTTAATCATTGATAGATTGAAATGAATGTTTCTGCTGGTCTGTTGGTCCTACTTAGTGCGTGAATTTCCTAAAATTAATCTCCGAAATTTCAAGTTCATCTATGTGCAGATGTGGTTCGAACTCACACCCATAGCTGTTTTTCCTACATAATTTGTTACTATAATATCAATAAACTTAAAATATAGTATAGAGCATTTGTTAATGAAATTGTTTCGAACTGGCCTCATTCAAATCTAACATTCATAATTTTACTCAACAGTAGTATTTCATTTTTAGGTAAGTTATACTCAGTCAGTAACAACGTAGAACTTCGTACATACGTACATCAGTTCGAGTTGCCATACCACATTAGCACAGAGATGCAGTTGTCGATTCAAATCCCGTAGTGGTAGAGGTAGTAAAAGCATAAGCACTGATTGGAAAGATTAAGGTTTGAAGATGTTATTCAAGGAGTATGTCCCAGTGAAATAAATTTGGGTAGAGCAAAAAGGGACATGAAGAATTCAGAAGATTAGAATTTGAGAGAACACAGAGAGTGGGTGCACCTGAGCGATTCCAAACGATTTTGAGCCATATCATTCAAGGTCTCTAACCATCAGTTGCTATCGTTTTGCGGACCCCAACCAGGTAGTCTACATCTACCAACATGGCTCAGTCCACTTGTCAGTGACTTCATGGATTTGTGCCATGTTTTGATCTGGCCGCCCCTAGCTTTCTCCCAACCTATTCCTACACCATAAAATATCGCACGTCGGTGCAGTCGGTGTTTAGGCATATGTAACACGTCCCAGTCATCTCAACTGTTTAAGT